AAAAATAACAAGGCATTTAAAGTTTATATGGACATTAGAGAATGTTCCACCTGCAGAAACTGAATATATATCGTGGGTGCCGTCGGGGTCTGTTCTTTTATATAACTGTTCTTTGAATTTGTTCCTGGGAAAGGAATTTTGACTAAGCTCATTGTTGACAATCTCACAAGCAAATGTGGCGCCTTTCTTTCTTTAAAATAATTTAGTGTTCCTGGCAAACGTTTTTAAGGTCAAAAAGTCTTACATAACGCTTTTTTTATGGTCAAAAGCGGCTTACATTTATTTTAATTAGGAAGTTTTGATTTTCCTGGCAAAAATTCTTAGTCCTTAGAGAGTATTCCTTGTCTGGAGAGTTAGTTTTTCCTGAATTTCTCGCTGGCAACCAGTCTTGACTTACAGCTGCCTGGGACATAAGAAATAAGCGATATACTTCTCCCAGGAACCCGTCGATATCAATTATATTAGTATCTACAAGACTATGGCATTCGAATCTGCTACTAAATATGCCATATCATCATGAAAGACCATGGTTGCATCGAATGAAGCAAAAATAGTCGGAAAAATGTTGAAAAAATTCACTTTTTATTGTCTTTTTCTCAAATTTGCTCTATAGTTTGGTGGATACTGAAACAATTTCACCGCTCGGTCTCGTGAACAAAGAGTTGATCCATACATACATGGTTATTGGAAGCATGATACGGATTTCATCATCTTTTATCTCCGCGCACCCATGTAATATTCCCTAAATATCCCGATTTGAGAACGCGCTAAAATAAATCGCAGGCAAATCCATGAACTAAGAATGAGTGTAAAAAAATATTGGTGAGCTTCGGGAAACTGCTCTGATTCTCATGCGATCGCCTGCGGTATTTTTYAAAGCGGTTCCGCTTCTCGGAACTATCATGAGTCGTTCCGTTCAGGTCACTCATTCTACTATTTCAAGGAACAAGACAATTTTTCAATCGAATACTAATAAGAATATATTTGGCTATATTTATATAGTMATATGGCGATATTTACATTGATGGTTGAAACTAGCAGTAAACTAGCAATAAATTAATCTCTCTAATATTTACATAAACTGGGTTATGATTTGCAACAACCGTTGGAATATTTTCAGCGATATTTTACAACACCTATCATATTTTACATGTATACTTAGTKTGTGCACTTAGTCTAATTGACGATTTTATACATATTTGATTTTGGAGATGTATCAGAATGTTACATAACGTCCATTTTAYATACACCTGCGCGCGGCATTACGTCTATTACGTAACACTYGGCTGTCCGCTGTTGARTTTCTGYGTTTTGAAACTTAAAATGGATTATCTATGGCTTTCTTTCCTGTAACACTAAGTAATGTGGCTACATTAAACGTAAGAAGATATTTTTGATAAATCWCGAGGTTTATAAACCATTAAGCTAATTAAGCCCTAAGGAAACTCACGTGTCTCTTTTTATTTCGTAGCACCACTAAAATTACGTTTCATGTTTTCTACAGTGTTTCCGTTTGAAAAAAGGATCGTAGTGKTTTTTCTTTCTTTTCACAGTATGACAGAACAATTGAATAGAAATATATCGGAATCCTACGCCTTGTTGTATTTAAATTACTCAAAATACGTAACAAGACCGCAAGGCTTTTACACGAATGAAATACTGTTGAATAGCTTTGTTTACGTAAGAAAWGCAAACAAGTTATTTAAGGGATAACTGAAGTCAAACGTAGGAGGGATTGTTTTTGCGGAAATTTTATGGTTAATGGACATTGTTACCGGACGTAATCACGTTACTTTAAACACTATTAAAAATATACAGCAAAGTTAACATTACGTAACAACCACCTTACATAATAGCCACGCTAATAATTACTAATATCACGTAAGATATTGGACAAAAGTAATTACGTAAWCGTTACGTTACCAAGTTAAATGATACGTAAAACGTCATCCATGCCAATAAATAARCTACTAGAATGATATCAAGAATGATAAACGCCTATTTCTCAGGACCCGTACTTARAGATATATAAAAATAACAAATAAASTATYTYAAAATAAAAATGGACAAAATACTCTTTTACGTAATATAAGACGGTCTCTCGACGTAAGTGAACGCAACACTTTTTACTAATGACACTTYTCTTCTCAACGACTGTAGCTCTCCCAAAAAYTATATTCTACTTGAAATAAAGCTAACGTTTTACTACAATGCTGTGCTCTGTGGTTTAACRTTAGKAGAATTAGRGTTCGTTATRATAGAGGTCGCTGTAGTCGTTGTAATACCAGTTGGAGCTGCAGACTGTGAGCTTTTCTTATACCGCGGCGTGTACATCACCGTAAAGTCCTTACGGAAAGGTGTACGTTGATAAATCAGCGTTTTTATTGCGCTTTTGAAATCTGGTTTCATAAAGGAGTAAATAATAGGGTTGGCGAGCGAGCCAAGRATGATTGCAAATGGAGATATCTTGATAAGGATTTCTGGTATAGCTGYGTAGTAGCCTAAACCAGCAGCCAGCGTGTAGTACAACACTGGAAACCACGTGACCACGAAGGTGATYGCCGCTACGACAAAAACTTTMGCAATTTTGGCCTCGATGAARATATGTCGCATGGAGTTTGACCTTGCTTTTCTATCGCTGTCTTTATTATCATTTTTCGCAACACGCATGAACGTTTCTTGTTCCTTATGGATGCACTTACGTACAATCATGAAKATTTTGATATTCGCGAAAAGAATGAACAGGAATGGCAGCACAATGCAAAGGAACACGACTAAGAGAATGTAGATTTTGTGATAAGAGGCYGATATGTTTCCCAACCAACATAGCGGTAGTAGAGCTATAATAATCGATAAAAACCATGTCATTGATATAATGACTTTGCTGTATTTTGTCATCAGCCCGTGATAGGAAAACGGCATCGTTACGGCGATGTAGCGGTCCGCAGTAACTGCTGTCAGATTCGCAGCACCGCATATCAGCACCACAGCRTAAACTACATTGATGACTACRYTRATCCTAAATCCAATGAGATACTGAAAGAATATTACAAGTCCTGTGAACATGTCAGAAACGGCTAGCGATACAACGAAACTGTTAGTTGGAGTCCGCATATTTCGACTCGTGAAGACGAGATACAAGACGAAGCCATTAGCAACGAGAACCATGACGGAGATWATTCCCAAAGGAACGTTTACTTGAAGAGAATTCATTTTATRAATTATAAGCTGARCTTAATTGTKCTTTTCCTATAAATGTTTTGGCTTTCTTTTTGAAGAATTATCAGAGAAAATTCCACCCGATTGTTGCTGTACAACGTTTCACGTATTCTTGATAWTCTTGAAATCGCTAAGCACTTTTATGCCTCCCGTAATATGTTTACTTTAAGCACTGTCTCATTTTAACAAATTTGAGAGTCCCACACGCGTTGTTTTGCTTTCTGCTTCAAAAGYTTGATAGCTAAAAATGTTCCTGTGTCTTTAACAATGATCCAACTAATAACGTTTCTTTCAATTAACGATATAGAAGCAATGTATACAAATTAACGAATCTCCTTAACTCAAGTTGACTGCCACCAAAATCTTYAATTTTTCTATCCTGTATTTTCCAGTTCAGAATATAACGTTTTTGTCACCAACTTCAGCTAAAATCTTTGACACAAATTAATTTAGGTTTCGTTTCAATTAAGGAATCCCCATGATATACAAATTACCAATATTTTATAACTTTTCAGATGATGTAAAAAGTTATTACGACCAAAATCATCAGCAGAGAACCACGKCTTGGCTTCAATAATTGCAATTATAGATATGCAAAAMTTTCWACGTTTTTTCAGTTTTCTCTGCACCAGTTGATATCCAACGCTGTTTCCAYCAAAAATGTTGACAATGAACTAAATGATGTTGTTTATAAATAGAGYAATGTTGTTTGTATGGCTTTGCACAAGAGATTCATACAACGTTCTGCCACCAAAATCCTCAATTGTCAATAAACATCGATGATTTTCTCTCTAATCATGGAACAAATCAATTAATACAGCACAAATTAGATGTGTCTTCAAGATAAGTCGCCCAGTATTCAAATAAGTGATGTAAAATCTCAACAAACAAATTRCCGTGTAGRGGAAACCAATCGAATGATATTTTCAACGCACACGACGTTTTTGACCAWGAATGGTTGGACGGAGTCTTTTGAAGTGCTTGAAGAGAAGCCAAGTTCTTTGAATTTCTCTCGCCTYGGTGATACTTCTGTACTTAAGTATTCTTTTAATGTGCACCCGGGCCGATGTGTATACTGACAACTACGGGTGGTTTATGCAAGGGAGCACGTTTTTATAAGTCTCGCGTCTTTGTGTATTAAACACTATATTCATCTACTTTAGGATCTGTTGTTTTTCTTCATCTCTGCTAAGCTATAAAAWCAGCGAGAAATAGTTAAGATTTCCCTTTATGGTATGAATTCTTTAAAACTGTGTCGATTTGCTTTTGTTTTCGWTTGCTTTCGCTTGTTGCCAAACAGAGMTAGAGAAAACAGATTCACARCAGTCCAATTGTCCACAATCTAGTATTCGCTTTTGCTGCTCAAAAAGAAAATTATCACGTAGAAAACATCATATACTTACCAAGTCACATGTAAAATACTTGAGCCAATTAACCACAATCAGCTGCTTGCTGTTCACATRCACGGAAATACCCGATTCAATTTACAACTTTTGGTTCTGTTGAAATTTTTCATCACCTTCAACCTTTGCCTTTCCTCTTACAAAAGTTTACAAACGAAAAGCTGGAATAACGTGWTCCAATGAGTCAAGTGTATAGTTTTAAAGAGGCCACGTAGTATTTAAAAAAACAAGTAAAATAGTGCAAATAATGCGGTTAGTCCAGGGCGCATTTAAGGTGTCAAAGCCTGACCATAATAACCTGCTTCAAGAGCTGATATATGATTTTACCCAACAATAACAGCCATGAAATTGTCAGCCAGCCATTAGTTATCGACCGGTATGGACCGCCCCTTACGATATCATGCAARGATATTTATTTGTTTTCAACCTGCTTAAATGCTTTTTTCCCCCTTCAGGCATAAAGTGCTTCAAATCGACTTAATTACTTAATGTAAATACAAAGTTATGAATYAATTTGCGTTTGGAGGAGTAAATGTAATCTAGAACAATGTTATTGGAATCGCCTATGGCAACGATAACTCGGAATTCACAAAGTATCAAGATAAAATATCACACCGTGAGGGCCTTTTCTTTCCCTTAAAGCTAAAAAAACTCACGTAAATAAGTTTATACATAATTAATARATAGAGGTAGCCACATAATTACACTTTTTTTCTCTCTAGAGCTCCTAATGATTTTTTAGGATTGCTTTTAACAGATCTTTCATTTTTACAAACTAAATAATATATAAGACGTGCTTGTTTTCTAGCTTTTTTTATTTCAGGTTACTGTCATATAAAAAGTACGTGGATATTACAATATGTTTTMACACCCTTGCCTTTAATGTTTGGTCATTTTCACTTCATTAAAACAACAACTATTTAGTTTCAGCTGTAAGGTTGAAGAAAGTATGGAGTAAATCTATCCATGTAATTTTTATCTAGATTTCTCTTCATAAGAATGAGCGATAAAAAATACGCCAACAATTCACATTTTTTCTGTTGCTTTTTTGTTGTTCATGCTCATGTTGTTTCCTTTGTATAACGACTGATTTTTTTTCGCGAGAAAATGATCCGGTCAAATACATTTTTAGTGAAATTAAAGAATACAATTCGCACAAAGAAATTTACATGTAAAGAAGACCAAAACCGTATAATCATCTGTTAAGTCGATCTCGATGCTTCGAATCATATGCCGCTATCGAAATAAATCAAATCATATCGGCAGGAATGCCGCTGGGTGTTCATCGACTTGCATGGAGTCATTTTTAAGCTCTTTTCTAATTGTCCTTATCCAAATATCTTGAAAAAGTTGTCCACCTAAAAAGGCATTTCCTATGTCCCAATTGTCACGTGTCTTGATATATATTCAGTTTCTGCGCGTGTAACGTTCTCCAATATCCGTATAGATTGCTAAAAAGGACTTCTAATTTCTYCTCGAAAAAACACCTGACATTCTAATTATTCTAGACCATTTTRCACGAACGGAAAGCATAATTTCAAAAATCTTTTTCTCCCGCAAAATTGTTATACACTTCATCTAGTGACTAAATTCMAAAAAAATCCTTTATAGCTAAGAAAACTGCGCTAATAAACGCCTACTCAACTATGAAATGGATGATCACCTCCAACAATTTTTGGTCGGATGTATATGGTTCACTTTTAGACATAARAGCATCCATGCCCTGCTGACATTTAACCTCACAGATACTCAAACATATGCAAAATTCACTTTAGAGTTATATATAGATACGTCATAAATTCAGCATGCTAGTATTGTATTTTCTTGTGTGAAAATTCTCTGCAAATCCGTTTAGGTAAAATCACTCGCCCTTGACCTTATTTCTGATATCACAAAAACCTTATTCTATAATTGTTTTATTATACCTTGTTTGCATTATAAAGAAGACTCTAGAAAGAACGTTGTCAGTATTGCTCACGTACATCCTTCTGCTCATCATTTCAATGTCTTTTGTACGCATGTGTGATTACGTCGATATTCGAATATTTCTCTGGAAAATACGAAATRGCGGATAACATTACTAGTTTTGGTGTTAAATATCTCTGAAACAAGCACACTTTCCTATCACAATAGTACCTTTAGTTTTGAATCGAAGGTATCCTTAAAAGCTACAAGGGTTTAAATATTAACATTGCAATGATTACTATAGTAGTATTAATAGGTTTTTTGTTTAAAAAAATGGAATTCACCTCTCAGACCACCCTCTCAATTGTTGAATTCATATTAGRAAAGGAAATCTCTCCGAGACGAAAAGCTCAACGTCAGACAGAAAACTCYTCCGATATGAATCCGATCAGCGACGAGTTTTCCAACTCAATTTTTCCGTCCTACTAATACAAACAAATTAATCWGTGGGTTTTCCAAGACTATGGTCAAGACGAACTTTCCGTCTGATATTAGTCGGACAGTTTATGCAATGCATTGTAGGATATGCTGAGGAGATATTATGGTCGATTTCAATTTTGTTTTCTCCAGAAACAGATCCCACAATGCATTGCAAACCAGGTCAGCGAATAAAAAGCTTCAGAGGTCTATTGGCGTCAAATTAAATTCATTATAACCACAAACGTCAGATAATTCATAATGGTACTAACCACCCCCGCTTTTTATGGACCACAAATATCAATTAAATGGAAAAATATTAGATAGATGAATAAATAAAAGAAAAAAAATGGTGGGACTCATTSGTACAAAAACAATAGCAACATCAACTTTGACGGGTGTTCATCTGAAAAAAATGCCATTTTCCGCAGCGCTAAATCTATCCATTTTATTTTAGTTGGCCACCCCCGTTTGTAACGTTCTGTAGCCACAACTGAGTGCATCAGGAATCTTTGTTCTTGTGGTCTATTTAGTGGTAACTCTTATTTTGATTTGTTATCTATTCCTTTCCTTGCCAATACACAACACACGACAAAGGAATTATCATAATGGTTTCACCCATTCCCATGAGATTCAAAAGATAAAAGACCGGTGGCCATGTTGGAGGAATGAACAATAGATACTAAAATAAGAAATTCTTTGTTGAAGTTCCTCCAAGATGGCCGCTGTGACGTAACCTGAAAACGAAGAATAGAGTGAAGTCTATAAACCTACGAAAACAGATATTAGAGTGGTTTTCATTAACCCGTAAACATACTTTAACGTATTTATCGCTATTACACTATGGCTATTTTGTTTTTTATTGTCTCTACGCGACTATTACGGTCTATTACACTCTAATTATTACACTTTGGCTCTTTTGTTTTTTATTGTCTCTACGCGACTATTACGATCTATTACACTCTAATCATTACACTTTGTTTCACGGGTTTATGAAAACCACTCTACACTTTGTGTCTATATTTGACTATCACATTCCTCTTTAATAGTCAAGGTTTGTTTCACGGGTTTAATGACTTCCCCTTTTACCATTCTTGTTTTGTAATATGGTTTTAAAATATACGTCACAGCGGCCATCTTGCATGGACCTCAACAAAGGATTTCTCATTAGTATCTATTGCTMATTCCTCCAACATGGGCGCCGGTCCTTTATCTTTTGAATCCCTTGGAAATTATTGGAAACGGGCAATTGAACCAGTCAGATATTTCTATCCCAGAAATTACTAATGCACAAGTTGCATTATTTTGTACATTGTGAAACAAAGTTGAATGAGATAAAACGGGGAAAAAAAGAAAAAAAAAAGATAGCGTCTATCTACATCCGACATGACTGCAGTCATTGTAAGGGACTCCTGTTGATGCATATCGAAGTATCAGTTCTCATTATTTTTTTTTTTTATCTTTTTTTTAAGTTATTTTATTTATTCGTTAAAACACATCTATGTAAACTATGTATGGCATAAGGTGCGAAAAACTAAAATTATACGTAATTGTAAAATTGTGAATGACAATAACAATGTATAAAGCTTTTTCTCTAAACTTTGAGTACTGAATAATAATACTGTAATGTATTCTAATAACGAAATGCATTGCTGGCTGTCGTTTCACCGCTCTAAAAGAGTTGTACATGTATTTCACTGTTTAAGACTAGCTTTGCCAACTCTGTACCTTCCRTGGAAAGCAATTTAGCTTGCAATTTCGATTGAAATTACCCGCATGAAATCGCTCGAAGATGAATACAAAAGAGTTAAAGATAGCAATAACCGCTCGGGAAACAGTGCCGAGACATGCTACTATGACGAGCTTGACAATGTTTTGGGTTGCAAGCCTTACATGTATGTAACACCAAAATCTATTATGCAGTTTGTTTGTTTTTTTTGGAATCCTAAACTTGCAACAAATGCAACAGTGCATTTCAGTATTATAATATGCTACGCAGTTTGAAAGTATTAAGTACTCAACCCTTTTTAAAATACCTGTAATTGTACATGTAATACTTATAGTATCGGTAAATTACATAAACTTGTCTAGTTTAACTTTGGTGTTTGAAGGTTTGTATGCAAAACATTGTTGTATTTGACATACATTTTATTAGTTCATAGAATCGAATTGAATCTGCTAAAATAATCCTCTAAATCGACAGGGTTTAGCTACCATGATTACCATTTAACAATATTTATTTRATAAGTTCTTTATCTCATTACCACAACATCTACATTCATGGGGTTGACATTATAAGATTGTATTAATATCTATGAGCTAAGAACATTTTCAACGTTTAAAAAACGACACAGATATTGATGAAATCAGACAAAGAACTAACATTGGTGAGCAGTGATCATACTTACTTGCCTACTAGTTCCGTATGTTCACATTAATGTAATCTTTCAAACCAGCAATTTCTAACCGAAGTTTCCAAGGTTTTCTAGCTTCTGTGAATTACAGTAACTTTTAATGTAAACAATGAATTACAGTAAACACCTGAAAATAAGAACCTTATTTCTTGAAAGTCTGGCAAAAATTTCTTGTTTTAGGGGTAGTTGTTGGTCATTTTGGCAAAGCAGGTTCTTAATTAGGTTCTTACATGTAATTTCTAATAGGGAGATACAGTTGTTATTTTTTTGCATATATATTATAAGAATAACATATCAGAGCTCAATATGGGCTAAAAGTATATGTAATACAATAATGTTATGTATAACTGCAACTTTCAACTACTGTAACAAGTAAATAATGAACTCAACAACTGTAAATAAACTTCAGTAATCTTTAGCAATCTTCAAATTGAGTTAGTCATGGTTTGTTTATCCTATAATTTAGCTCTAACCCATATTATAAGAACCTGCTAGATAAAATTTGGCTTAACAGGTTCTTATTTAAGGGGTTATTAGAATGGCAAATTTCTGCCAAGAGGTTCTTAATCCATAAGGTTCTTATTTTCGGGTGTTTACTGTATCAAATAAACCATTTACATGTAGTCCAACAAGTCTTCAAGTCCTTTAGTGGCTGTAAAACCTTCACTTGTTATCACTGCTTTTTGACTTGATCCGTCTAGTGTGCATAGCTCGTTCATGCATCTTCAMAACGTTCTCGTCAGCAAATCTAATTTTGCAATGAGAGCATTGAAATGGTTTGATATCTTTAGTGTGCATTGCCATGTGTACCTCCCAAAATTTCTTTTCAGCAAATTTCATTTTGCAAGGAGAGCACTGAAATTGATTGACCTCTTTAGCATGTATGGTCTTTACATGTCTTCCCAAAGACCTCTTAACAGCAAATTTCATATCACAGTAGGAACATTGAAATGGCTTGACCTTAAATGTACTTGTATGCATAGATTTTTCATGCATCTCCAGAAATCTCTTTTCAGCAAATTCTGATTTGCACTGAGAACATTGGAATTTGATCTCTTTAGCATGACTAGCTTTAACATGTATCTCCAGAGATTTCTTTTCAGCAAATGTTATCTTGCACTGAGAACAATGGAATGGCTTGTTCTCTTCAGTGTGCTTATCCTTCACATGTTTCTCCAAAGATTTCTTTTCAGAAAATTTTGATTTGCAGTGAGAACATTCAAACATCTTGTTCTCCGTATCATGCTTAGCTCTAATGTGCATCTCCAAARATCTCTCTTCAATAAATTTTGAACTGCAGTGAGAACATTGAAACAGTTTGTTGTTTTTAACATGCTTTGCTCTCATATGACTGTCTAATTGAATCTTTACAGCAAATTTCTTTTTGCAGCAAAAACATTGGAATGGCTTCTGACGTTGATGCATTTTTAAGTGCATCAGTAAATTACTTTTTCGTGCGAATGTCTTTTTGCAGTATGAACACATATTGTCTCCAGTATGCGTCCTTAAGTGATCCTTCATAAGTTGGTTTGTCTCAAATCTTGTTTGGCAGCAGGGGCACTTGAAGGGATTCTTCTTATTCATTGCTCTCTTTCCCAAAGAGCATTTAATTAGCTCTTCCTTAGTGTGGACTTTCAGGTGACGYGTGATTTGGGATTTGTACCTGAACGTCTTATTACAGTATGAACACTGCAAAGACCTCACTCCAATACATGTAGATTTATCTTGAATAGAATTTTCCCCTGCTTCATTGCTGTTCAAATCTGAGGTTTTGTTTTTTTCTAAATCACTTGCATCATTGATGTGTTTCTCTTGAAGACCACTTTTCATATTTGCAACACTGTCTTCATTGTCAACATTGCTATCTGTTGTGTTCATTTTGTTTGCATTCATGCATTCAGTGTGCTTGGCTTTTTTATGTGTCTCCAAAGCTRWCTTTTTAGAAAARTTTGATTTGCAGTRAGAACATTGAAACAGTTTGTTCTTTTTAACATGCTTTGCTCTCATGTGACTGTCTAATTGRATCTTTACAGCAAATTTCTTTTTGCAGCGAAAACATTGGAATGGCTTCTGGCGTTGATGGATTTTTAAGTGCATCAATAAATTACTTCTTTGTGCGAAAGTCTTTTTGCAGTATGAACACATATTGTCTCCAGTATGCGTCCTTAAGTGATCCTTCATAAGTTTGTCTGTCTCAAATCTTGCTTGGCAGCAGGGGCACTTGAAGGGATTCTTCTTATTCATTGCTCTCTTTCCCAAAGRGCATWTTATTGGCTCTTCAATAGYGTGGACTTTCAGGTGACRTGTAATTTGGGACTTGTACCTGAACKTCTTATCACAGTATGAACACTGCAAAGAACTCCCATCACTAGATTTGTCTTGAATAGAATTTTGCAAAGAACTCACGTCACTAGATTCGTCTTGAATAGAATTGTCCTCTGCTTCATTGCTGTTCAAATCTGAGGTTTGGTTTTGYTCAAAATCACTTGCATCATTTCTGTGTTTCTCTTGAAGTCTACTTAAAATATTTGCAAGACTGTCTTCATTGTCAACATTGCAATCTGTTGTGTCCATGTTGTTTGCATCCATGCCGCTGTTGCAYACTTCCAGTACAGTTTCACATTCATCAAGGTACCCAAATCCTTCTCCATTTCCATCATCCAGCCCATTACACTTATCAAGGCCAGTTTTAATTCCTAAGAAGTCTTTAATTTCATTAATAAGGGGGTCTTCTTGTGGTGATGTAATACTGTCTGTGACWTGGCCTGYGTTGATGTACATTGAAGTACAGCCATTATGACAGCCCTTATCATCAGTCTGAGTACCAGTAGTACACAGTTCTTTGTAGTTGACAGGATGACCAATCATGACAGAATCCCCTTCAGATGAATCCTGGAATGACAGAAAAAAGCAATTGTAAAGAACTTAAATAAAAACCAATCAMACCTCATCAAGGCAAAGATCTTTTGCAAACTTTACCCTCATGGGACTTTRTACTCAACTATATAACTTTGCATATTGAATAATCATTACAAAAACATTACTTTACAACAACCAAGACTGATTCAAGKACTCTTTATTTGTAWTATTTTTCAATAGCTTGCATWGCTAATATTCTTAKAAACTCGTAAACTTAATTATAGTGAATTATTGGATTGAATTGAAGGGCTCTATTACAGTTATTCAACAAAATGTGCACTCTGTCTATCATGAAGTTCAAGGAAATTATGTTATTATTATAAATTAACTTACATTAACCGGCCATTTGTGTTCTCCTGTCACCTTGTTGTAGATAAAAAGAGTTTGTCCTGATTTACACTTGTACTCGATCCAGTTAGCATCCATCTTGTTGACAATTCAAAGAACTTTCTACGAGTTTACAAAGCGATAAATATAATCCTGATGACTAGGACTACAACACTTGTTCTCATCAAATGTACTGCGTTCAGTTTGAAAACAACCGTCCAATAGCAAAGAAAAGTATTCAACACGCTGTCAGCTTTGGACCAAAACTCGGTTGATTTCTACCAGGCGTCACTTGAAGACTAGAGAAAACTGAAACGAGGCTATTCACAGGACCACAGGTAACCCAAAAATTAATTATGGCATTTTATTACTTTTTGTTATGTTTAATCAGAAAAAAAATATTATAAAAAAGTGGTTAAAGTCAGAAAAGCCACATAAATGACCTCGGATATAAGCTATCAAAAAAATCTTCACCGGGGGTTTTCTTTTTGAACAGCCATATTTTTTTCTATTAGTTACCTATTAAAACTAACTTAGATCTCTAGTAGATTAGCCACCAAGAACCACTTCGTGGAACACACCGTGTCCAGGTTACGCTAAATATGTTATTTACCGGCTGGGAGGTCCGTATAGGAAAACACTGCCCGAGGTCTTGACAGTACGGAACGAGCGCAGCGAGGACCGACCTATAGCCGGTAAATAACATTTCTTTTATTTGTATTTTATGCAACTTTGCTCGCAGCCTGGCTGTAGGATACCGTCRGACCGGGCAGATCGTGAAAAACCGGACCGCGCACTAGCCAATCACAGCGCGCGAATGACCGAAAAAATTTTTTTTTTACCAGCGCCGCGATAGATTTGATAGATTTTGCGTATGATCTTTTCACATACTTTTTTTGGATATTTTATCACTGAAGCGAAAATTTAGCAATATTAAGATTGCATTCGCATTATCTTCAGAGAATTTATAAAATGAAASTTTGCTTTGCATAAAATGATTTTAGAAAGAAAAAAAGAACGATTATATTTTTAGTTAGAGAAAGAAAGAAAAAAAATTGTTTAGAAGCTGCTCGAGTCGAGAATCGAATCCGAGATCGTCAGTTCAACGCCGCTATTCAAGTATGGTCTTGGAGCCACTTTAGAATACCCCGTCACTCTAAAATCACCTATGAAACACTGCCACCGCGGTGCCGCAGTGCTCGCTATGACTGCTGGGTATTTTTTCCCTAAGACTATATAGTTTCTATTAACATTGAATCTAAGGAAAGCTTTTATGAAGTCGGAACCAGATACAAAATAAATTATAAAAATAAATATTAAAAAATGCGCTAACCTGTGAAATGTCAGATTTTAAACAATGAGATGGGAGGATTATACAATGCACAATTAGCACCTTCAGGGACCATTACTTAAATTATCCTCCATCTCTTTAGAAAACAACTTCATTGTTTAGTATTTTTATTTCATTATTTTCCATATTAACATATATTTTAGAGTTCCATCTTCAAGCACTCTGTACCAGCATAACGACGAATCTCCCTGATAACAAGACCTCCCACAACTTCCAGCATCTTTGAGAAGTGTAGTATGATGTCAGCCTTGCAGCCAGTGTTTGTTGATTCTGTGCGGTAGCAATTAATCCAGGCTGTAACATCATCACATATCTAAAAAAAAAGGTATGAAACTTTTGTTGAGATTTTTTACCTTTTCAATGTACGATTCTTTTAATATTTGCAAGGCATCCTCGGGAACCCAGGGGTAATCTTCTGTCGTTTGTTCCTCACTCCCACTCTCTGGGAGTGAGGAACGAACGACAGAAGATTACCCCTGGGTTCCCGAGGATGTTTGCAAGGTAGAATTCGTAAGAAATCTGTGTGCTTACATACCTTTTTCTCTTTGGAAAACAAATGAACGTAATGTCTGACGCACGTCTTGTGAACCTCTACAGCGCACTGATCGGAATCATCATATTCTTTAAAAAATAATAAGCAGAAGGGTAGTCATTTCTAATGGTTCTCGATCTCACAAAACGCTCTTTGAGGGGGGATGGGTATGAATATCTCTGGAAAAGATGGACGGTAAATAGGTACTAAAACTGCATATAACAGTGAAATWTTTTGAAACAAAAATGTTGGATTGTAAGGAGTGTTGTGCATTTGCTAATGATGGCACGGTTATATGGTTCTCTTAACGAATTGGTTTGTCGTGAGTTGACTGTTAATGGCTCATTGAATGTTTGTACATCTATGCCAATATCCACTTATAGAATCTTTCTTCAGTTATAGAATTTTCCTATCGCCAAAAAATATGGGCGCCAATATCTCGTCTGAGTGTTGTATTGGGTAGTATATAGGGACTATATTCAAAATGTACAAAGAGCTGAAAAGTTCTACTTTCTAAGGGATGCCATTAAGCTTACTTATCCTGTCTAAGTACAAATGCTGCTTGGCAAAATCTGAAAAAACGAAAAGAATATGGAAGAATTATGAAACTATTTGTAGAAAACAAATGGTAAAAGAAAAAATGTATATTAATAAACTGATAATTGCTATATTATACACAATAGTTGCAATCATATTTCCACTCTCCTGCCCTTCCCCTCCCCATCATATCTTCTGCAAACCAGTGCTCATACCCTTGAGTCGCTTGAGTTAACACTGGAAAAAATCGCGCGCTTTAAAGGCTGTAAATTTAATGTAAATATGATGTAAGTGTCCAAAATTCTGTAAATTTAATGGAAATCATTTACATCAAATTTACAGAATTTTGGACATTTACATGATATGTACATCAAATTTACAACATTTAAAGCGCGCGATTTTTTCCAGTGTAAATCACGAGCACATGGAAGAATCGTTTTTGTGACTACAAGTTATGATGAAACTGATATAAAAAAGCCCCAAAAATATATTTGAACAAAACGACAATGATTTGAAGAATAAGACTGATTGGCTTATGGTTYCAGGTGAMGTTTGTAGATACGCTTGTTCAGCTTTCACCAAAATGTCAGTTACATAGATAAAAACATTCCGTGCATATTTCAGGCGCTAACAGGTTTGGATGTAAAGGAAAGGAATAGTGCTTAATGCACGACTTCCCATACTCAGATTCAGTTTCACGAACAAAGCATTGAAACGAGGCATCAAGGTAACGTTAGCATAAAATAAAAGATCTGTGGTCAGTRTACCTTGACGCCTCGGTTCAATGCTTTGTTCGTGGTCAATGAACCTGCGTTTAGAAAGTCGTGAATTAGAAAGAGGTTATTCCGGGAGAAAGACCCTTGGAAATTGGAAATGAATTAAAAAATTAATTTCCGCGACCTCGCTGGGATTCGAACCCACGACCCTCGGATTTGTACTACTGATGCCCTAAAAGCGGTTTATTCGAACAAACGTAAACCACCACAAGCTTAAGTTAGCCCTATCCCAACAGGTRTTTAAYTCTACCCAAAGAGGATGTAAATTACCTGTTTTGTCAGTTATTTGTTTGATGTCTTTGTATTCAATCTCTGGACAGAATTTAAGCTTTTCGACGAAAATGGCTTGTTGCGTGAAAAAATATCTCATGGCATCGAGCATTTGACCACTAAGTTCGGGTCTTTTGGAAAGACAATCGATGAATATCTGTTGAGAAATATAGAATCACAATGCAATAGCTTCCCTGGACAAGTATGTCATGTTCMAATAAGACCAAATCCTCGCTAAAGCATTGAGGCAGGGATCAATTGTCACTCACAGTTCAGCTAGGAGGAGGCGACGGGTTTCTRAGAGAAATATATCTGTTCTTATGTCCAAGCCAKCATCTGTAAGTCACAACTGGTTGCCAGCGAGAAATTCAGGRAAAAAACTCTCCAGGCAAGAAATACTTTCTAAGAATATTCAGGAAAATAAAAAGTTCCTAATAARAAAAGCCGTTTTGGACACGTTTGCCAGGATRAAAATTATTTTAAAGAAGGGCACCACATTTGCTTGTGAGATGTAGCTCAAAATTCCTTTCCCAGGAAAAAAWTCGTACAAGAACARTTATTTAGAAGAACAGACCACGTCGGCTCTTGCTGTCGAACCCTGACCATACCACTAGGAAAAGGTCCCATWATTGCCAAATTCGTATTTATATTATAGCTATCATAGTACGCKCTCTCTGATWGGTCAAATGTTATTGTGTATTTCAMCGATAAACGCACGGATGCGAAAATGCTATAATATAAAAGCAAAAAGCTGAAAATCTCTCGCCCCCGGCTCGAGAATTTTACGCCTTTTTCGTGCTCCCACAACATCCCGATTGGTTTGTTTCACTAGGAACGCACGAAAATGTGTTGTTTATTGCTAAATAAACATCGTCAAAATTGACATTGCCTTGAATTTCAAAGGCTGCTCGCCTGAGCTCACAAAGTTTTGAAGTTGCTAGTGTGCTCGAACTCTTTTCATCATCATCATCATCGTTCGGCTGTTGCACAGTCGACTACAAGACGTTTCTTTTAAGCAATTAAAGTTGCTAAGATGCGTATTCTTAAAATATCGAAGCTTGCATGTCAATATTAAACTTTCCAAAACAAATAGAATGCTCGTATGTATGTTATAAAGCAACGTCATTTGATACGCAAGGAGCGCACGCAGGCTCTCTAGCAGTTGTCCCTATGTAACCACCCCATCCAACCCCACCATATCTTATTAACCTCGCTTGCTCGAGCCGTACGGGAAGTTATGGACCGAGTTTTTTTTCACTTTTTATGGCCCTCGCGCTACGCTCTCTGGCCATAAGTCAGTGGAGAAAAACTCGGTCCATAACTTCCCGTACGGCCCTCGCGCTCGGTTAATAAGATATTATTATATGGGCGCATATTACATATTACAGAGATACGGATTTTATCTTCGAGTGTTGAAAAGATCTCTGTTTTTCAACACGAGAAGATAAAATTCGTATCTCCAAGCGACCATGTAATATTCTGTTTATCATATATGTAATGAAAAAATGAAAGAGTTTCTTTCAATCTTAAAAGAAAATACTCACAAATGCTTTTCTGAATCTTGGTCATAAGGTAAATAATAGCTCAACAGGTCATGGGAAATTATTTTTCTTCAAACAAGTCAAACATGATGTAARTTTTGAGAATTATTTACAAAAGGTTACAAATGTTAACCATAGGAA